AAAGCCCAAGCACAGAGCATCCTTGAAGTCCTGAGGATAATTCAGTATTGTACAGAATCCCTTGGGCAGCCTCACTGCTTCCATCCACCATGTATACTTTTCCTACTGGAACTTCTGACCTGCCAGAAAGATTTTACAAAGTAAGTACAAATATTCCAGAAAACCAGCAGATGTCGTTTTACAGAAATCCTAATTGGCCTCTGTATTGATAACTGCATAATTACTGTATATGATACAAATTCACTTTTTTTGTTTGTTTTTTGTTTCTTTTTTTGTTTTTCGAGATAGGGTTTCTCTGTGTAACTTTGGAGCCTAACCTGGCACTCGCTCTGGAGACCAGGCTGGCCTCGAACTCACAGAGATCCGCCTGCCTCTGCCTCCCGAGTGCTGGGATTAAAGGCATGCACCACCAACGCCCGGCCTACAAATTCACATTTTTGGTTAATGTGTTCTCTCATCTCAAGAAAAAATAGGTTATAACCTATTAGTAAGAACCAAGAATATGATTATTCCTCTTATGACTTGATCCGCCTAACCTGACAGTAATAATTGTATTCCTTATGTGCCCACAGTCTCCTAAGGGTTCTAGAGTGCTGGGGTTAAAGGCGTGTGCCCCCACTGCCCGGCTACAGTGTTTATTTAAAGTAATGACCATGACCTTTCAAGGTGGTTATAACCTTCACTCAGCTTTTTTTCTGCTGTGTCAGACACCTCTCTAAGCATCATATATTCAAAAGTGACATGAATGGCAAGGCCTCTTTCTAACAGAGCCCTATATTCTCTTGGAGAACAAGAGAGAACGTTCAAAATAAATAAATGAGATAGTCTCTGATAGTTATGTAGTATGTGGTGATTCCATGTACAGTGACACAGTTTGGATGGTGAAGGAAAGTGAACCAAGGGAATGGCCTGTAGCCCAAGAGATGAATGACTTGCTGAGACTGGTAGAGTGCTAAGGGCAGAAGAAACTCTTAGTGGGGAATCAGGCCAAGGGACAAAGAGAAAGAGCATGGCTGAGGGAGAGGGAGAAGTGGGTGGTGAGCCAGTCAGAGCATGAGGCAGGACCCTATCATACAGGGTGTTTGCATTTTATACCGAGTTGAAGGTGGGAAGCCCAGTAGGAGGAGCACAGTGGGTTTCCATTTATGAACGATGTGCCTGGCTACTCTGAGAACATGGGAAAATCATAAAGGCAGTTAGGAGATTATTGCAGGCAAGAGAGAATGGTTTGGACCAGGAAGAAGTTTAAGAGATGGAGAAAAAGGGATAGCATTTAGGATTTATTTGGGAGATGGAATTGTGTAAGACAAAGAAGATGAATGAAAGATACTGGAAACATGGGTAAACTTAGGATTGTGTTTGGAGCAGTTGTGTGGATAGTGTCTCATGTCACTGAGAGAAGGGATCTGAAAGACACAGATGGGAACAAAATTTTAAATTTTGTTTGGGCAATCTGTTTGAACTATTATTATTATTATTATTATTATTATTATTATTATTATTATTGTTAACAGGGTTTCTCTGTGTAACAGTCCTGGCAGTCCTGGAACTCACTCTGTAGACCAGGCTGGCCTCAAGCTCAGAGATCTACCTGCCTCTGCCTCCTGAGTGTTGGGATTAAAGGCGTGCATTACCATGGCCTTACTTTTTTATTTTTATGTGTGTGGGTGTTTTGTCTGTATGTATGACTGTGCATCCCTGACCCCAATCTCCATTTGCATGCCTGATGCCATGGAGATCAGAATCGAACATTGGATCTTTTGGAGCAAGACTCATGGAACTGGAGTAAAATACCATGTGGGTGCTGGAAATTGAACAGGTGTCCTTAATGCTGAGCCTTCTCTCCATTCCTTGTTTTAACTGTTTCTTTGGTATTCAAGTGAAGATTACAAGAAGACCAGATTCTAAAGTATTGGGAATTATTCAGGACTAGGGATGAAATTTGTTTAAGCCATGGACCAGATGAAGCCTAGACAGGCAGTGGCTCAGAACTGAGCCTTCATTTAGAAGTCAAGAGAAAGAGTCAGCTAAGAGAATCAAAGTGGAGAGTGGGCCTTGAGGTAGATTG